TAATCTGTATTAGTTTATAATGCACTTTTAGTAAATAGTTGGAGGCTGATTAGAGACAGCAGCTTTGCCACGCTGCTTGACTCAGTCTTGGGCAATGTTCATGGCTCATGTACCGTGAAACAATAAAGAATGCCCCAATTCTTCAGTAAGCTGATCTTTTTGAAGAATGAATTATCCCTCTCCAGACTTGGAGGGGGAAACATGCCCCTCTCTTGGTCCATGGAGAGAGATGAGCTCAAGATGAAAAAGTTCTGCACAGAGTTTTGTCTGGCGAAACACCGCCAATCTCAGGCATTTCTTTGATGCTCGTTCACACTTCCTAGGGCTGCAAAACTGAGTTGGGACGCTCCTAAGACAAGCAGTTTGGGAGGATTTCTCCAGTGCTTCTGTGTCTAGCAGATGCCCCAACTGCCCATATCATTTTTTTTCACTCATTCAGCCCAGCCTAAAAGCTCTTTTCATTCAATATATTTCACAAAATTTAGAGACACTTTCTGATTTTTCCCCATCAGTTTTCCAGCTCTCTAAAGTTGGTAGAACAGGCCACACCATCGTATTTCAGAAACCAGCATAAAAATATTTTCACAGATGCGTTTTCTGGGAGTCCCCAGATAGCTCGTGCGAGTCTGATGGGGCTCCCACGGTTCTTAAGGCTGGATGGGAGACGGATCAACTACGGCCGGCCTACAAAACCTGCCCTCCCCACAGTCCAGTCCCTTCCTTCTGTCTGACCCCTTAAAAAAGTTTCAGCTCCCAATGGGTGCACAGCTCACATGCAGCAAGTGATTATTCCAACCAGCTTATTTCTTTAGTATACCTTCTGGGTGGGCTTTTCAAAGATGCACTAGGCATCAGGTCATCCAGTTACCATTAAAAATGAATGGAAATTTGGTTTCCAAATCCAGGCAGTTTTGAAAGCCCCGGTATTAACAGAGGTGAAAGATTTGTACCTGACTGAGATTTGAGATAGGATGGCTTCCTCTCTCCCGGGGTGTCAGCACAGGGGCCAGAGTATGGAGGTTGAAACATATAGCTGTCATTTGGCAATGAATGTGTGCGGCCAACGGAAGGCTTTCTCACACTCAGGAGGTCCTTGCTGGGGGACAGAGTCAGAGTGTCATTTTTGGAGTGGAAATTGGTCTGTGAAAGAAGAGAGAGAGGAAACATCACAGAGTTGGAAGACACAAGGCACCTGGAAGCCCTAGTGACAGCCATTGCAAGAAATATGGGGCACAATGGACATGCAAATTGTCAATATGTACAAGTTCTATTGAAACAAAATGCACGAATGGATTGACCAGGAAGCTGTACCCCTCGTTTTGTATTGTCAATAAATCGTCACACAGAATGAACCACAGAAACAGGGGGAAGCAACACTAGTAATAAACCATGACTATTTCAGGAATACTTGAAATGGGCATCATGCCTCAAGGCGCAGCAAGAGTCACATGCTTTGCATAACTTTTATCATAAAAAAAATAATAACGTCTTCTATTGGTGCCCTCCTAAGCAAGTTAGACTTTTGCAAAGGTTAGTACAGAATAGTAATTCCTTCTTCTAACAATCAAGAAAAAAAGTATAGTTGACAGAAGATGTTGGCTTTGACTTCCAGGATAATTTTATTGGTTTTCTTTGCTTTTCATATAATAAGTAATTAAATCAAATGCTTTTTGGATGGGGAAAGTAAACCCTGGGCCTAAGGGCTTTCACTCTCTTTAATTATTAGAGATTAGGATAAAACCTAGCGTAGGGGACAGATTATCACACATCTGCCCGCTGCAGGGGATCTTACAACCTTCTTCATAAGCATCTGGTACTGGCCTGATATTGAACTAGAGGGACTTTGGGTCTGAGTCAGTAAGGCAATTCCTCTGGTCTAAAAAACAGTTGTAAGGTATTATCAAAAGTGGAAAGAAAGTAAACTTGGTGTATTTCTAACAAAAGAAATACTTTCTTTACAAAAGACTCCAGCAGAAATCACAGAAAGTGGACAAGCATGCCAAGGAGTTCAATAAAGTACATCTCTTGTCCCCTCCTTTCTGGGTAATCTAATCATCATCTACTGGCGAATCTTTCACTTGCTCCATGTGTTACAACTTTTTTTGGACTAGAAGTTCAGAGGTTTTTAGAATTTAGTCCTCCAACAACCAGAGCAAAATTTCATTACAGTATGTTGTAGATACAAGAAAACACGACAAGATTAAATGGAATTTACAATAAATAAAGAAATAAAGAAATAAATGAGAGAGAGAGAAAGAGAGAGACAGAGATCACTGCTGTAAATTTAGCCAGGCATATCCAACTACACTCACTGCTCATGAACGTGATGGTTTAGAAGTACGCTAGATCCACTGGGGGCTACAGACCTTGCTATAACTCAGAATAAGAAGGGAGAAATCTACTGTAGCAGTGCTGACACGTCTGCTTTGACATCCTCTGATTCTCCTCCCCCCAAGCTGTATGCTTACACCTTTTGCTGTACAGTGTGATGCTCATAATACTAGAGATGACCCCCAAATAGGAACTTAATGTTCAAATCCATTTGGATTTGAAGGGGAGACTGATTTCAAGACCAGAATCAGAACCGTGTTTCCTGTTCAGTTTCCCAGGCGGGCTCCAGACCTAGAAGGGGTTATTTCCTATTTGGCTGAATCTTGCGAGATAGCAACCCATCCAGCAGAAATATTGCAATAGCAGCTAATCTCATAAAAGCCGTTTAAAATGTCTGAGAGATGATCCCTTGAAAGCAGGAACCAAATGGACCTGTGCAAATAAGCAATTTTGGGCTCAGTAATTCAAAGGGGTGTGGTGGGGAGCTGTTTTGGGTTTGCTTAAAATTATTTGCAGAAAAAAAATCTCGGTGAATCAAAAATAAAAATAAACTTATTCATAGATTTCATAGACATTAGGGCTGGAAGGGACCTTGGAAGATCATCCAGTCCAGCCCCCTGCCCCAGGGGCAGGAAGTCAGCTGGGGTCAAAGGATCCCAGCAAGATAAGCATCCAAATGTTTCTTAAAAGAGTCTTATTCATTTTTGGTCATTACAAAAATAAATAAAAATGGGGTACTTTTCTAAACTAAATAACACAACATTTCACGTAGGATATGTTTAATTACAATGTTTCAATTTTTCAAAAGCCTTGAGATTCTTTTTTTTTTTTTTCAAATTCAACCAAAACAAGTTGTTAAAATTGACATGGTTTTATGAAATATTTTGGTCAACCTAAATCAGCTTTTTTTTTTTTTTTTTGGTGAATGAAAATTTAGGCAAAAAATGTCACCTAGGTGTACTCTTGACACTACATGGTTGTCAAAAACCTAGTCTTCACTTAATCTGGATCAAGATTTGAACAGCGTTCTCTTTAGCTCATCTCCAGTTGATACCTAATTTTGAAACAACATGTTCCGTACAAAAATGTTAAATGTAGTTTACAAAGTCTTTTGGACGTGATACCATGAAGCATGATGGGAAATATCGTCACGGTTTAAAGGAGATGTATCCCAAATAAGTAATTAGGATGACAATCAATGAGAATGACAGAAAATTTATCAACAACACAAACATCCAAAGGTAGGTATATGGACGACCACAGAGAAAACAAGGATGGATCCAAAAATGTTGGGAGAGTCATGTCTGTTGAACAGCAGAAAAAAAGCACTTGACTGCTACACATCAGCTAAAAATGTCTAATGTTTCAAAGAGCAGATGGTTAAATCAGGGCTCAAAATACTGGTAACTTCTTTGGGAAAAAAACCAAAATGATGTGAAACCTAATATTTTTCAGGTTGAGATGACTGCTCACAAGGGTTCACGAATCAAGCATCTCCGAGAAATCCACATCTGGTGCATTTCTGTGTTTTGTTTTTTAATCTGGCACCCATCAGCAAAGCACTGGGGTGCCTCTGTTCTTCCAAAAGAATCAGTACCAAACAAAGGGGATGTGCATAGCCCCCACTGGTTTGGGGCATACCTGCTCGAGGCCATGTTTTTTCTGCACACCAACAAGATTGGGATCAGACGGAGAGGAAGTGGCACAAGCCACACTTTTCAATGCTTTTCTGCTATTGATTTTACTTGAAGAAAATGTAATGTTTTAATTCAAGATTTTTTTTAAAATGTAGAAAAACAAATACGCATTTTCGCCAAGGAGCCAGCTTTTTTGGCCAGACCAACTGTAGCCCCAAGCCAAATGGCATTAAAGACAGCATCCTGTTTCGATACCAGGTATGGTGCTGGTCGCAAAAACGGCCGAACTGAAAATGCCATTAGGATTAACCATGCAGTAGCAGTATTTAGAGCCCTGCAAAACATCAGACTATACAGTGACCAGTGTATGTACATTGCTTTCCAGAGCATTAAGTAAGAGTGTGTTAGTATCATCAGGATAAGAGTCATCCGTCAGAGCTAAGGACCAGGATTTTTCAGAGAGAATATCTGACGTCAGAGACAGAGCCTCCATCTCAGCTAGAGGGATCTAAACAAGGGAGAGATGATTAAGCATAAGAAACCAGGACAGAAATATTTTGAAAAGAAAAAAAAAAGTATCATAATCTAGACACTAAAACATTATCCCTAAAATAAGAGCATCTATATCACGCATGCTGTTACAGTGGATCGAACGATAAAGAAATGGTGTAAAAAAAAAGAAAAAAGAATGAAAAATCACATTCATACTTAAATACTTACAAACAATTCATAGAGGAATTTACAACTGTGCACTAATGGTAGACTAAATGTGTTGCAAGACAGATGGGTTCCTTTGTGACCAACTGCAAACTGAAAGTATCATCGGCTTAGATGCTATCTATATTTATTATTCTGGCTACAACTAAATATTAGATGCTTGGAAAAACCCCATATTTCTCGGCTATCTCCCATTAATGTTAAATGCTATGACTGCATCCCAATTCTGTTTGACACTAGCTTACTTTGCTCGGCTCCTCTAAAGCTTCCCTCAACCCATGATTGTAAGGGAAGGAGGCAATAATGTGCAGTTGTATGGGGGTGAAAAGGATGACACCTGTATAACAGCACCTTTCATAGTTGGACCTCAAAAAGCTTTACAAAGCTTAACTGAGTCTTTACACACCAGGAGAGGCTGGTAGTAGAATAAATGACACTACCTGGAAGTCCACTGATGTCAATGAGAGCCTTCTAGGGTTTGGCCATTCCCATGAGTTAGGTGGCTAAGCTGGGTAGGCAATTCTGGAGTCGTCCATCTGCATCTTTAGGGAACTAAATATCTTTACACGCCTACCTCGTATTGATGTCCCCAGGGCTACAGCAAGTCACCAACAGAGCCGGGAATTGGTGTTGTGACTCTTCTATTTATATACACTCTGATTTCAGGTGGACTAAGATCCCTCTCAGACACACTGGACTTTCTAAGAAACACAGTTTATTACTTTGAGCCCTAGTGGGACATCTCAAAAGAAGAGGTTGATCTTTTCCCAATAAGCTGGATGTTGGGCTTAGAGGGTAGGTTTGGCCTTCCCATAAATCTCCCCCAAACCCTGATATCTGTCTTGGAGATTGTTATGGTCTTGTCTATGGAAGAGTCGTTTGTAAGAGAATGTTTCAATAAGACGAGACAAAAAGCTGATCACATAGGCTAGACCCTCTACTCCAGGGGTGGGCAAAATGTGGCCCATTGGCTGGATGCGGCCCACCAGGCTATTCTATCTGGCCCGCAGGGCCCCTAAAAAATTTAGAAAATTAATATTTATCTACCCTGGGCTGCCTGTCACGTGGCCCTCGATGGCTCGCCAAAACTCAGTAAGCGGCCCTGCGCCTGAAATAATTGCCCACCCCTGCTCTACTCCAAGGCAAACACCCAGATGGCTTCCC